TACTGTCGGAGCAACTATCGGCACCAAGAACCATAACTTCCACGGATGCCTAAAAGAAAAATATGTAGGTGGAAAGGGCACTGGAATTAAGACTCAGTGGATCGAGGTGTGCATAATGTTGAACTCCTGATACTCACGAATGTTTTTCTTGCATTCTAAGGAAAAACAGTAATGGCGCGCACCAGTTGATACGATGGCGAATGACAGTTTTGCTTCAGAAACTTTTGCTACTGAAGCAGAACAGGATTTCTCGGTTTGAAATGCGAAGATGCTTGAATCCCGTAGTTCAGAATAGAGACATGATCAAATCATGATGTAAAAAGTTTGAACATCTTAACTTATGCGGTTACTGAGATGGAAAAACGTGAGTTTCAAAATCCTTCGTATATGTAAGTGGATGGTTGTGAAATCTAGCTTGTATGCATTAATGTAGAAACTGGCCAAAGTCCGTGATCCGAAAAATTTGAACTTTTCTACTTACCAATTTTAAACACGCAATTTCAAATTTCGTACTTCTTTTTGTACATGAGGAATAGGCGTACGTTAAAACTGTTTTTTGACTTCCGGGATCGCACATGAATAAGAAACGTCTCCCGAAATTTCTCAGCTTCCTAACCTTTTTCTGATTCTCCAGTTAGTAAATGTTTCATTATAAACTTAGCCGTAAATTTATGAGATCCAATAGCAGATAGATGGAAAATGAATTTAAATTTTGTGAATCGTTTGTGGACAGGGAATATTCCTTTGAAATTTCAGCTTCCAAGCTTACTTGATTTCAAAACCCGCCAATTTTCACTTGTCTGTAGGCAAAATGCAGGCATGCGTGGAAATTGATATCACTATTCCGAAGCCGCACTTGGCCATTGGCAAAACTTTAACATCTAAGCTTACTTGGTTGTCAAGTTGAAAATACCCGGATAAACAAAACCACACACGTACATACAGCAATATGCGCTTTTGCTGACTGCTACAGTGGCACTGCATCGCAAAAACGCGTAAAAAATGAATTTGCATTTTAGATACGGTTGGGCATATAATACACATACGTGAAAACTTCTTTTCCATACAAAAAACAAGTGAATATTCTGGGACCAAAGTCCCTCGCCGGGTTCAGCGGATAACCGCAGTTGGCTCCAAATCCGCAACCGATGACCAGAAGCGCTATGCCGAATAGTACAGCATGCGCTGCCGGTGGTATCTTATTGCGTGGATCGATGACCATCATTACAGCAAATGCCAGCAACCCCGTTCCAGCGATCTGAACATAAAAAAAGCAATTGCAACAGCCACGAGCACCAAGATCACTGGACTGCAGGAATGAGGCCGACAATAACAGGCGACAGCCAAGCCTTACGCATGAGGCATCCCATCATGTGTAGTTGTATTGCCTCCAGCCTGTACACCACTTCTGAATTTGCACAGAATTTTATTGAAAATTCTCCGACTGACCGTCTTTTCGGGCTGAAGTCATCCCTTTAATGTATCGCAACCCAACAACTGTTAGCAAAAATGAGCGCCCACCGGGAAAAAAGGAAAGAAAGCTATTTCCTAGCAAAAAAAAGCGAGAAGCTATTAGTTGGTTTTAGCTAATAATGATTTCAACCAGTACCTGATCGAGGAAAGTGCCGAGTGGAGTCATGAACGGTTGTGGATAGGTGGAGAATATACCAGCGGTCGCATTTGGACCTTTT